GAGACTATCAGACGAATACAGTTGTTGTTTATTGTATCCAAAGTTGGTGCCAAGTTGATAAGTTTTTATCATTTCTCATATTTTTTTTTATTTTTTTTCGAATACAAGGGATATGATCATTCTTTTTCGCTTTATTCCGTATTCGAAAAATTACATTTTTCAATGGACACATCGATTTGAATACTTAATTTAGATTTAGATAATATTTTTAGCATTATATTTGAGAAAAATAAAACATTTAGATTATTGCTTGTATTTTGATCGATTTTAAATTTGCTACCCCAAAATAATTGATATCAAATAAAACACCTCTTTGAGGTAAAATTTTCGAGTGACGAAAGCTGAACTAGAAACGCACAATTTATGATATAAATTTCGTGACGAGAATTATACGCATTTTCTAACTGCCTTGGAAACGTACGGAAAATCTTTTTTTATTCATACGAGCATTTGCACATTTACACCGCAAGTTTCAATTGTCCCGGTCTGCATTCCTTTTGCACTCGTTCACAGATGGTTCTGAGATATTTAGTTCGGAACTAGCGCTTTGTCAGACTGTCTCTAAAATTTACCGCAGGGCATGACCACATACATGCAAGTATATGCATTTACAAATATTAGAAGTTTGAATTTAAGTACAGAAACTAATGTTTTAATTTACTTTTCTTGTCTGCGTCTACTCAGGCTAGCGGTTTTGGTGCACATAGTCGCGTACATTCTAGACATAAAATAAATTTTCTCAGTGCAAAAATATTTATCCTCACCAAAAAGATTATGCAAGAAGCTTTATGTCGCATTACCCGGGTGTTTTTCGTTTAACCGGCACCAACATATGTACATATACTACCTGGGTATCCGCACAAATCGGGTAATACCCGGCTACCCGGGTAATAACAGCCCCTGGTACCCAGGTATCATCAGCCCTAATCTGAATCCATTTGGAAAGGATGCATTTTTAATTTCCCTTATATATTATATTAAAATAATTATTTGTTAGTTTCAATGTTTTCTGATTTCTTTACTAAGTTTCCAAGCTGTAGTGAAGATGGATAATTTTGTATATATTTTTACGAAACTTATTCATAAATTATTGAATAAATCTCTGTACGAATAATTTTGTATATTGTCCTAAGGCTTTCGTAATATTTACGAATGGTTCTAAAATTTATTATTATGTATTTAAAATTAACTAAATATTTTCGTAGATAGTACTAATGCAGAAACATGTTTTTTGAATTCGTAAAATATACGAACAGTGTTGACACTCACTTATTTTCCCTCTACGAAAAAACGTACCAAAACGGTTTTGAGAGTACCAAAAAAAATTTTTTTTTAGTAATAAAAGAGAAAGGGTTTTTTTCTAATTTATTATTTTTCAATAAAGAAGTAACAAGTTTAAACACGAATTGATTTCACTGCATTAAAAAATATTTTTTCGCACAGAATTTTTCACAATGTCGATATACAATATTTTTAATTTAAATTTGTTTTTTTTTTTGCTATTTTTTATGAAAATATAGTTCATACTATAACAAAAAACATAAAACTGTAGTTTCTGAACTCTGATCAAAACTCAGGAAAATTCAATAAGCTTTCATGCAAATTTCCAATTTTTTAATCACTTTTTTAGATTTTTTTTGAGTATGCAGTTTTGTAGCCCAATAAATTTTTAGCGTGGTCAAATATGTTCACCAACCACAAATTTATTGAACTCCAAATTAATTTAGATTTCTTACTTGTCCATCACTCCATTAAAACGAATCTGTCTTTATACATATATTTACTCATTGAAAAGTCAAAAGTCATTTGACAAGACCAAAACTGCGTTAATATTGACGTCGTCACCCAAGAATTAAAGGATATCAAATTGCCAAATACCATGGCAGCTATTGTCTTCCCAGACGTAGCCGGAGATATAATATTATATATATATATTGCATTTCTTTCACACGGGCCTACTCTTTCCGAAAATTCCTTTGCCGATGTCCTCATTCTCCTGCATCAGCTCGACCAACCGCGCAAGTTGCCTTTTGTTGCTTACAATTTTTGATCTGTAATTCAGACACGTACATACATACATATGTATATTTCACAATTTTTTACAACTTCCAGTTTAATTGACTTACTTTTTATCCATTATAGTTACACTTTCTTATGTAAATTTCATAAACGCAAACTCCAACTACTAAAACACAGCAATAGAAGGATGAGCGATTAAAAAGTATTCACAGTCGCTAATTGAGCGACTAAGCGACACTCGCAATAGCATCGATAATCGACAATCGCTTAACAGTCGTTTATCTACTGCCAGTCGACATTCGCAAAGCTATCGATTACAATTCGTTTGAAATCGCTTCTCTTCACTTCAATTTTATGTTTTGCTTGTTGTTTTCGCTGCTCGTTGTTTTCGCTGTTGTTGTCGCCTAAACTTTGCGAGAAGAATAACGGACCTGCGCATTGCGCAACCTCTTATATATAAACCTTGATATTTACAAGGAACTGAATGATACGTTCAACTGTTATGGTCTGATTATTCATACCTCGCATAACTTTGCACAACTTCGCATAAACTTCAAACTGTAATTTCGTATGTACTTTGTATGTATTTTGTACGTATTCCATTACCCAGAAATTAGCAGAACTTTTAAAAACTTAGCGATCTGTTGAGTTTAGATTTTGCTTAGTTACATTTTTATGCACTGGTACAAATGGTTGTGCGAAGTTATGCGAAGTATGCATAATCAGACCTTACACCAGTTTTTCTCGGCGAGTAGCGGAAAAAAATCGTAAAAGTGTTAAGGTTCGGTTCTGCATACTTGACATTCATGAGAGTTGTCACATAAGGAATCTGTGAAATGAACTTTGCGTGTGAGCTCTTAACCAACGCAGAGTAGAAGTCTGTTGGTTTTTGATTTCTACGTAAAAATGGCATTCTATGCAGTACAGTGCAAAATATGCATAACTGAGCTATTATGGCTGTGACTGATATTAGTCGAAAAAATACCACGCTTGAAAAGCAAGCAGGACTTAAAAACTTAGCTATGTAATTTATTTCCAAAAAAAAAAAAACTGCTTTTATGTACCCTTACACTCACATCAAAGCTATTTGTTTAAGTTTTCCCACGAAATTTGGTATCACCTGATAATGAAACTTTGCTGGCTCGAAATTGGTTTTATACAGATAGTTTCTTAAGCAAAGTTGCTCAGAATGATACGTAGAGCATTTTCCGCATATGGGAGTTGTCCGTTTTTTCGGTCCCCTACAAATCGACCCACTCTAATATATATATTCCTTAATCACAATTTCAAATTCCGAAGCAACCTGTCGGACTCTAGTATTAACTCCTCAGATTATGCATCAGATTTCTACGGGGATTTTGAAAAATCTGATGGATACTTTCCTGTAGGTGTGATTTTGGATCTGCTAGTGCGGGCCTGTTCGAGGCACCTAATAAAAGCGGCCGTACTGCTGCACTGATGAAAATTTGCAACACTGTTGCAACTGCCCAACTGACAATACATTGCTAGAAATATTCACACCGAACGTGGTACTTTAATAATTCGCGCAACACTGCGGTTGTGATGGAAACTCGAACAAGCCCTACTTCTAAGTTCTCCATACTTGCATTTGTATTGGTTCATTGGTATGTATGTATGTTTAGTTTCCACCAGATTTGTCCAGTAGGGACCCTGTAGGGAAACCCCGATCTGGTGAACCATATATATAGTTCCGTACTAGATCTTTATCGCCAAAAACGAACCAGTCCGATAGAAATTAAATCGCATGCAATTCAAAAGCAGCGAGATGTGGTACTTTTAAAAAACAATTTTATTTTTAGAAATCTATGTATATCTAAAATTACGAATTTAGAACTGGTTCGAAACTATAGAAAAAGGGATGCACAACGAACTAGATCTCATATGGTGAATTCTTAACTAGTTCGGAACTACCGAAAAAGGAATGCAGCGGGGGGGCTTATTTACTTTAAATAGATGTTTGCTTGGCGGGTTTTTCGTTCAAATACGCTCTCAGTCTGCACTTCGCAGATGCTTTTTCATAGTTTAGTAATACAAAACTAAAATTTGTGTTAACATTTTAACATTTTGGGACCTTCTGGAATCTAACCAATAACAGCGAGCACCTCTGCAAGTTCAGCTACAGCCAAAGGTATGTAAACGTGTTTTCAAATGCACAATTTAATTTACATTCAATCAAACAAACAAATTTGATTTCAGATTGAAAACACATTTCTTTGCAAATAATTAAAAATCGCTACCATGGTAAAATCAAAAACATCGATGTTTGTGTCCTGTATTTGTTACTTATAACTACATACACACATACGCACGAAAAAGGTTTTTATGTCTTTATTTGAATTGCATTTTTATTGCTTTTTAATTTCGTCATTGAGATTGGTGTATCTTCATGATTCAATAATAAAAGGTTAGATAATTATTGACAGCCGCGACTCCTTTACAAAAGATTTCATTTACGAAGGACAGAGGAAGGGGAAGAAGGAAATCCCTTGGTGCGAAAATGGTAGTGGAAAGATATGCGAAGTAGGCAAATAGTAGTGAAATTCCTTTTGTAAATTCTAATGTATTTCCAGGAAATTTGGCATTTTAAACGATATATTGAACGAAATATTAAGATATCTACGTGAATTATGAAATTTTAGTGATATTGAGCGGTATATATGTATACAAAAACCGAAAAAGAGATCAAAATTAAAATAAAACTACTATCAGTTTTATGTAGGCATCAAATTTAAATTTATGTTTTCATCAGTGAATGTTCTTTATAAATATGCATATACAAATAAACATATTGCACAAAAACGTATACTTCTATTTCACCCGTAAGCTACATTTTTTCGAGTAAATTTGAAAAGAAGCAACACGGTGCCACTGCTAAGGGCGCGGTGCGATAGAGACAATTGCCAGTTGATCGAACCTTTAATTATTGGATCATGGAGTATCTTAAACTTATCTTTACTAAATTTACCTAGATACATTTGTATTTATTTAATATTTGTGCATCATACAGGTAAAAAGTATATTTTACTAATTTCTGTGAAACATATTGGTTTGGTATTTACCATGAAAATTCTTTACAATTTTCCCTTAAGGGTCGTAAATCGTTAATATTTTTGTTTAGAAACATTAATTTGGTTTAAAATAAAATTTTAGTGGTCGTTTTGATTATTGATGTGGTAATAATTTTTGGTGGGTAATATATCTTTCAAATCATCTAATAGCAACATTTGCGATTGTTGTTAACACCGCTAATAAGTCTACAGTTCTGTAAGTCAGAGCGCCGCTGGCGGTTGCCTCTGCCTTGGATTTCACGCACTTGGTTGGCCCGCAAGATGGCGTTTCGACGCAGGTTCCGACGTTCACGAATCACAATGCACTGCAAATTTAAAGAAAAAGAAGAAAGTTATAATGTGAGAAATAATAGTAATTTAGGAAGCAAATTTTGTGACATACTTTACGCCTAAAATTGTTTTAAAATTAATAAAAAAAATTAAATAAGTTCGGACAGTATTGATGTTTAAATCACGTATTAGTTCCGTTAGATTAGAAAGAAATTCCGCATACTTGATATGTCAGAAGAGGCCCCAGATTGGATGGCCCTCACTCGCAATATATTTAAGAGATGAATTGGGCTCGGATATTTATGCAAGTGATTATTTTTGTTTAACATCACAGAAAGTTCGGATCTGGGCAGAAACTCATTATAGGAGGAAGTGAGTTAATTTGGACCTATTATGTTTTGCATATTTTTACATATTTTGCATATTTCCTATAAATAAATTATTATGAGCATGTCACATTGATGGCAGCTCTTGTTAACTCCGCACGCGACATACTGACCTCCTTCTGCCCCAACAGTGATGACCAGCTACGCCAGCATAGAACTAATCTAATTTATTTGTGGTATGTAGGCAAAGGCAAGCGAGGCTGTGAAAATCTTTTGCAAGTGCGCCAACTAAAGCTCAACACCTTCTTTAAGTACCGTAGGTAGGATGCCATTCGGACCAGGCGATTTGAGACTGTCAAACGACTCAATAGCATATTTTAGGGCATCTTCATTAGCCACATTTCTGACAACAAACCAGTTGTATCTTGACACTGTAGTTTTCGCATATCCTCCCTCACCAGTCGAGGGAGAGGAAGGCGAAACCATCACCTGATTTTCACGAAATTGAGTCTCTGGAAGAACAGAGAGTTCTCCGTTAAAAAGCCATCAGGACTCTTGAGTGAACGCAGCTTTGTGGTTTGGTCCTTCTTCAGATCTTTTACCAGCCTAGCCGTTTGACTCAAGGTTTCAATCCCGCTCCAGCCCTCTTCGCAGAGCGAATTATACTACGTTCCCACGGCACGTTATCCGCTCTCCCATTCATAATTGTATCTCCACATGTCACCACAATGGTTCCATCCCTCTCTTATGAACGAGCATTCGCTTCAGTGCCGGAGTCAATGACGCCCCGGATCAGCATTTAATTTCCGCAGTAGTCATCTGCCGAGTCTAACCCGCCCTCCCCATTACGGCAATGAGCAGAGGGCCTGTTACGAGCTCACAATAAGTTGCCCGGGACCCAGACTCCCAGACGTAGTTGCTTCCAGGAAATAGCAAGGGCAGTTCTGCCTCGAACGTGGTGCCAGAGGTCTATCTGAATGATCGGAATTGGGAAATGCTACGCCAGTACCGTGCCACACTATGACTCGAAGAGGCATTGGGACAGCCATTGGTGTCTGTCACCACAGGTTTCCTTCTCTTGAAACGTTCGCAAGCAGATTTGGATGTCGGTACATCCATCAAGGTCCCACTGGCTTCTGGAGTAACCTCCGTAGGCCTGGGCCGCTTACTGAATGCAGCGACAGGAGGAATTCGGTCATCCACAGAAGAGGGTTTCCCCTGCTTGCGTTTCGCCCTTCGATACTTCTGGGCTGTGAAAAAAGGACCAACTCCGACTCCGAAGAAGGGAGGATTGGCTTTTTCTCCCTACTCTCCTCTAGGATGCGCTACTGGTCTATGACGTTGGGGACTTTGGCAATGTTTGAGGCCGCAAATGCGAATGCTTTTCCACAGATACTACTAAAGTAGTTTAAAGGGGTTAACTAAGTACAAATTGTTAATAAATTTGAAGATATGCGTTTAACAAAATTTGTTTAATGTTCTCTGAAATCTTAATAACATGGACACTAGTGCTAATGACTTTGGTCTTGTTTCCTATGGTAAAACTCAATTTATGCGACCTTTGTTCTTGAATATTTTTTTTTTTACAGATTGGGATTGATAAGGACTTTTCACATTTAATTTATAATGACGTTCGCAACATTCGTACCGATTTTCAACCTTATGCGAGTTACTGTAACCTTGATAATTTAACTTGGACTCACTTCTAATAAAAAAATATGACTCAGTAACGCAATAAATATTCGCCACAAAGTCAGTACTCAGAGTAGAGAATGAAAATAAAGGCGAGAAAATTGCGAAAAAATTTAATTCTTGTGAAAATTTGCAATTCGTTCTAGTTATTCCGCGCACCAGCTCTATAACAGGCTAACCTAATATTCACGCACGCCGCCAATTTACTGTCAAAAATTTCTCATGCACATACAACTTGTATGGGACCAACCGAAATTGAACAGCGTGCGTATGAAGCTAACTCAATTTCCAATTTTTGTTCTGCGTGACATTTTGATTTGACGTTTCGCTCAATGAAATCAAATGCAAACGCACGCAAGCCAATTTCGGGTGACGCAAAAAAACAAATTCGACGGCGTGCGTACCAAAACGTAAGCCGCGAATATTAGGTTAGCCTGTAACGCATACCAGCTCATTTCTTCTTAACAGATCTACAAAGTAAACTAGGCTGGGGTAGTTCTTGAATTAAATGAACTAAAGAACTAGTTCATCTCAATGAATTAGTTCACTAGCTCGGTCTCTCCATTTAATTAAATAGAGGGTAAAATTTAAAGGTAGAGAAAAAGTTATTGAACGCAAAAAACATCAAACTTACGCCATTTTGACTTTCTGATGGTTAATGTTTGCACGTTATGCATCCACATTTTCATTGCACTAATTTAGCTTTGAGAATTTTTTTATAAAATCTTCCTCTAAACACGTTGTTTACATTTTAAATTGACACATCACTGATTTTTTAACACCAGCAAATTCCTGATTTTTACTTGAAACAATTTGCAGCCCTATCGGGGTGTCAAGCTCTCGAACTCGCCCTATTGAAATTTTTTTGGGTTATTGAATGCATTTCCAGTATAAACTTGCAGGTACTGGTAACTATTCGTAAAAATTTTTTGATATTGAACGGATCTGGGAGTGTTTTCATATTCGCCAGACAAAATTATCCATCAGAAAAAAATTCTGAGTATTCGCTATCAAAGAGACAAACTATTCAGAAAACTTGAAATCTTTGAAACAGCTATTATTTTTCCCAGTTTTAATATGGGGTACATTTGGTAATTCATTATCCGCTTGGAGCATTGTCCCCGATTTGGCACTGTTTATTATTGAATACTTTTGGATGGGAAAAACATTTTTAACATATAAATGAATTGTCACGGAATGAATAAGTATTTTTCTCAAAATTGATACCACATCATAACGCATTCAAAAATAAAAGGATCTCCTCCAAACACACATCCTTGTTTTTTTACAATTTTAGATAATCTTGAATACGAGAACACTTTTATAAAGAGAATTTTGTCTAACTGTTAACTGTGAGTATGGTCTTTTTAATGTTGGTACTTTTTCGGTTTATTTAGTATATTACTTTTGGTCATTTGCTACAAAATTAGAAGACTCATTTATCATCCCTGTGGCGAAATACTTAAGCCGAACAGTGTTCCATAAACATTTCATGAGCACAGATCTAACTTTGTATCAAAAAAATTATAGTTGTGTTTTCGTATTCTCCAGCAAAAAATATCCAGTAACTTGCCAGTAACCAAAATTTCGAAGAGTAAGCTAAAATTTACTCCCAATTAGTGAAATATACAAGAAAGTACGAAAACGCAAAACCAGCAAGAAGTTGCTAGTTTTATGAACAGCTGATCAATTTGCTATTTTCCGATGCAATTTTCCTAGAAAACAAGTATTTTCCATCTTATTATATATTTAAATAGGTTTATTTTGTCAATTGCTACTCTAAAAGTAAGCTAATATTTACTCCCAATTAGTGAAATATGCTAGAAAGAACGAAAACGAAAAACAGCAAGAAGTTGCTAGTTTTATGAACAGCTGATCAATTTGTTATTTTCCGATGCAACTTTCCTATAAAACTAGTATTTTCCATCTTATTATATATTTAACTAGGTTTATTTTGTCAATTGCTACTCTAAAAGCACCACAAACAATTGTTTTGTTAATGTGAGTTACATTAAGCATCATGCCATCAGCTGTTTTTCTTACCAGCAAATAGTTGGTGGTAAAAATTTATCCAGTAAAAATCCAGTGAAACTTGCAAGTTCAGCTGTCATTTTTGCTCTCTCAATTTCCCCTCGTTTGCTAGTTTCTTGCAAGTTTTTGCATACGAAAACGACATCCAGTAAAAAACCAGTAAAATTAGTACTGGATTTACTGGATAGTGCGTACGCGAACAGGGCTTGTGTCTTTGGAACATATGGTGACGGCAATGTCTTGCTTACTCTCGGCATGCGGCAATAATGGTGGCACTACGTTGATGAGGAATTCGGCAAATGCAAGACCACTTGACGATGTTTGGGTGTGGGCTGCAGTGATAAACTGGAGTTCAGTGATAAACTGTCAGTAAACACATGTTTAAACATAAACGCAATAACGATGTGCCCATTTCTTAGCAATAAATTGCTCAAAGATCAAATGAATCCAACAGAAGTGCTGAGTGAACTTGGAAAAACGCGTGGTGCAATTAAAAGGTACGAGTACAATAGGACGTAGGAGAAATTTGCGCTTTGATTGCAACGGTAAACCAAAAATCCGAATCAACGCTGATATGCCGTTATACTTAGTTGATTGTGAGCGTAATTCTTATGGGCATGGTTGGAAATTGATTGCTAGTTTGGATGCAAGGCATCGAAAGCGTTTGAACGAAAAAAAAATCAATACGAACAGATTCATTGATATGAAAACTGGGAACGCGACGACGGCACGAGTGACTACTTTATTGCTTTATCGGCTTGGAACATTTGCATGCTATAGGCTGGTATGCAGCTCTCAAGAAAACGGTCAAGGAAAGAATTTGCCATTATTTCGTGCATGTGTCCAACAATTTTGATAACTGATACTTCACCAGCCTGTTGCCTCGCTCTTTCCTCAAGAAAAAATGGAGCGGGCATACTTTTCTGTTACAAGCATGAGTTGCCTTGTGCCACTGTTTATATTAATCACGATTCAATAATACAAGGTTAGATAATTATTGACAGCCGCGGTTTGACACTCCCTTACAAAAGGTTGCATATACGAAGGAGAGAGAAAGGGGAAGAATGAAATCTCTTGGTGCGAAAATGGTAGTAGAAAGTAGGCAATTAGTAGTGAAACTCCTTTTGTAAATTCTAATTTATTTGCAGAAAATCTGGCATCTTAAACGAAATATTGAACGTAATATTGATATATCTACGTAAATTATGTAATGTATGTGCTATTTAGCTGTATAAAAACTGCAAAAAGACTCAAAATTAATATAAAACTACTATGAGGTTGATGAAAACATCCAATTTAAAAACAATTTATGATTTCTTCAGTTAAATATGCTTCATATGCATATACAAATAAACATATTGCACATAAGCTTATACTTGTATTCCACTCCAAAGCTACACTTTTTCCAAGTAAATTTGCAAAGAAGCAACACGGTGCCAGTGCTAAGGGAGCGGTGCGAGAGAGACAACTGTCAGTTTATCGAACCTTGTATTATTGAATCATGTATATTAATAACACTATGCGACAGTCAAAATCGGGATGGGATGAAACCAACGCGAAATGTTATATCGGTCAAAAACAAGTTATACGTGTCCTGGCGTTTCGCTGGGTCACGTCTAGGAATCGAGATATATATATTACTATTATATAGGGGAAATTGTCACATTTGGTGGTCTTTTTTTGACATAACTCGGGAACCACTAGTCCGATTTTGCTCAAACAAATTTAAAAAAATTAAAAATTACAATTCCTTTAATCTGTTCATATAACGTCAAAAAAAGACCACCAAAGGTGACAATTTCCCCCATATGATAGTTATATATATATCTCGATTCCTAGACGTGACCCAGCGAAACGACGGGACACGTATAACTTCTTTTCTACCGATATAATTTTCCCCGGTAGTTCGAACCCTTCCCGATCACTGACCCCTACCATTTGTCTCACAGGGTAATCTACCACTAATTTGGTTTCTGAAGTGACAACACTGGCTGTGTTACCTCGACAGCAGAGTGTCATAGCTCAATTGCGCCCCCTCACTGAGCTGACCCATTAAAGGAGCTTGAATCATTTAGTTAACCCGCTAAAAGTCAATGAGTTGCCTAGCCCTAATTGAACGGGATAGTAGGATTTAAAGATATGGGTTAAATAGAGTAGCAAATGAAAAATATTAGTTACACGGGTTATAATGTACTTCAATTAGGCTGACAAGTGATAATTTATGAAATAAATGGTGCTACCATGCTGAAAAAAAGAGAATATGTTTGCAAAATATACGCACCTTTTGGCTGTTCCACCCGAAAAGTTCCATCTTAAGCTGTGCCGCCGCACAACGATCTACGCGTGGATTAGGGGCTTGTTCTTTCGCAACAAATTGAGTGTTCTTGATATAAAAACAAAAATACATCAATGACATTTTCGCATTAGCTCTATATATTTAGTATGAACTTACTCGGTATATAACGGCTTTCGAAGGATTAGTATTCAAAACTATAGTTTTCGATGACGTTAACGGTTTAACGTTTTCTTTTTCCTTCTGTTTACTAATTTGGGATATCTTTACAACTTGAGGATGCTTCTGAATCTGACTTAGTTCGTTTTCCTTGAGATCAAAATTTACAAAACTTTCTGTGGCCTTTTGCATAGACCTAATACTGTGATACACCGACATGCTGAATTGGGAAAGTAAATTAAATGGTTTCCATGACAACATGAATATCATTTTTATAGCGTTAAAGCTGATGCCAGATAAAACTTTGTGGCTTTGTGTGACATTTATAGCTTTGCCTCCAAAGCGCCAGACGAAAAAGGTATGCCACAATGAACGCCAAGAAAACAATTGTGTACTGCTTTTTTACTCATCGAAATTGCTGTGGATTTTATATATATTGTATATGTATTTAGCTTTAAGAATATCAGCAATGTAATTAAATCTTATGTTTCTGCATGAAAACTCCAATTTGGACGAAACAAAATAAATAAATATTAAACCAGCTGATTGTCAACGCGCGCAAAAATATGGGAGGAGACCGACCATCTTTTCGCTTCGCTAGGCAGCTGATGTGGCATGTTTTGTGCATTTTCATACGCTTCATCTTATATGTCAAAGCGAAGCAAGCGCTTTATCTTTATTGGCATCAGCTTAACTTGTAGTGTTTACCTGGGATGCTCAATAAGCAAGTTCTCTAGTGGTGATACTTCCATAAGAATAGGACCATCTGAGGTAAAGCAAGGCGGAGGTGTCAAATACCAAGAATCGACCATTGTAAAGAGTTTAGCACCAGACCCATTGCTATCACAACTGGCACTGCTGACATTGTGGCCTGAATTCTCGCTTTCGGGTGCAATGTATAGTGATTCCGCGATGTCTGCGTCAGACAAAGTTTTCGCGTTTTCTTTGCCACGGCGACTGATATCAATGTTACATTCGTTAGCGATGCGAGTGTGTTTCTGGCAATTCTTTGGTTGACTATTGAGCGCATTGTTTTGAAAATGTTTTTGATGCAAGTCATCAGTTTGAGCCCTACTTATGGACTCTGGTACTGGGGTTGATGTCCGCTTATTATCCCTGCTCGCATTTGAGTCTTCTTCTTAGGTAAAACGTGCGTGTGGTTAAAAATTAATATAAAATTATTGTAGATATGCTTATGTATGTAGGAATAAAAACGCCAGAATAAGCTCAACTTACCCTCCTTTTCAACAAAATACCAATCGTTCTCCTCTGAATCGAAATCCTCTTCCGTTGATGATGGCTTTTTGATAAGTAATTGTTTTGCTTCCGTAGGTGGTAATTGCTTTCCGTTTTTATTTTTCTTGTTGTTGCGCTTATTCTTGTTTCGTGCAGTGCTTCTAATGACTTGAAGTTCTCCGTTATTGAGTGCTGAAGGCACATTAATTTTAGTAGTTTCGCCTTCTTCAGAATGTTCCTTTAACTGGTTATGTTCACAAACAAAATTTGTTCCTTCCTTTACTAACTCTGAGCTTTTACTCGGTATACAGTTTGTAGATGCAGACGTACTCGATCCAAAAAGAAACGAAGCAAGGCTGCTAAACATTATACAACAATACAGTAACGAAGATGCTGTCAAACGCCTATTGCCACTTGTCGGTAGGAGAGGTGCAATAGCAAAATTTTCGTGGACTGTTTAACTTGATATCGTTCGTTTAACGCTGGAAAACTCTTCTCCTGGTATTTTCAATTTGTGTTGGATTTATGCTTTGTGCGATATGTTCACTCTTTCTTTACCTGTAAATTTTAAAAAACAATGTATTAGAATTTCATCTATTTTTTGGTATGTCCGTATGTGTGTATGTATGTATGCAAGGCCGTCGAGAGAAATCTCGGGCCAGGACTAAAATATAACGGGCTCCTATACATATATAAATTGTATTAATTTAAAAGCATATGGCCCAAATCGCCGAAATCGAAACGAGGGGAAACATTTTTTCTGAGGTTTCGCAGACTTTTGACTCTGGGTCATACATATTCTGAGGGTTTAGACTCAGAAACCTCACCTTTAAATTAATGAAAATTAAAAAAGCACAGCATGAAGTTAAGGGTTGTTTATATTTAAGGACCACCATTTTTTGCATTATATTTGCTTCTCTTCGCTTGCCTTGTATTCGACACATTGTGTCACAGTGATTATCTTTCTAAATGAAATTAGAGTCGGCAGCATTTTTTAATGTAACAGTCCAAAATATCAAAAAGTTGTTTTGTCGCAGAATCCACTAGGCTATTTGTAACCACGGTTGCCAATGGTGGTTGTTTCCAACCGAGCTTGGTTGTTTTTCTTTTCTTTTTTGAATTTGGAGGTTTGGTAGTTTTTTCTTTGATTTGGTTGATTATTTTTTTTTTAATTAGAAATTACTGAGTGCCAAAAATTAATAAATGAATTTTTAAAATTCTTATTTTTAATTTAACATCCCAGACAGCAAAATATCCGGAAATGTATCGGAAAATGAAAACCGTTTCATATAAAACCCTGATGTTTCATCCGTTTTCCGATTCCATTTTCTGTCGTTTTTCGGATCCATTCTCCCACTAAAGTCTTCATCGGAAACGTGTGTACAGAAAACTATCGAAAATGGTTGTGAAACAGATGCGCCTTCCTTAAATTTGTTTGATTCAATTTTTCGTTGAAAACAATTTCATTCTGAACTTCACAGAAAGTTTTTCAAAGTTACAGGAAACCAAACAAAAAACAATTTTAAGATTCAGGAATTATTTCAATTTATATACATATGTATAATTTTAGTGTGTTGCTTTTGTTGGCATTCGAACTTGAAACCTCCTGAAAGCTAACAAATAGTAGCACGCACCTCTGCGCACTCAGCCACTAGCGAATACGTATATGTACACATGTTTTCAAACACTCAGTGTGAACATATATTTTAAAATTATTGGGGCGTATTCTTGTTTTCGTACGAATCGAAAATCTTGAAATTTTCCTATCATTTCCTATACAAAAGTTTCAAGCTTTCGATTCGTACGAAAACCAGAATACGCCTCATTGTTTTGAAAAAACACTTTGGGTGTTTTTTTTTTTCAATTTGGTTGTTGTTTTTTTCAGATTTTGGTTGGTTAATTTTTCAACAATGGGCAACCGTGTTTGTAACGTAAGAGTCTTTTTTTACTAATTGAATTTTCAGGTAAAATTACTTTTTGCCTTACTTTTGTGTTTATTTTTTGGGGGAAAATAAGAATCAACAATTTTCTATGCCCTATACGACAAAATCAACTTTTTTTGGGTACTGGACCAAACCAATTTTTTTCACGAGATATGGGCCTTCGAAGTTCGAAATAGGACTTTTGGGAAAATATTAATTTTAAGTATTGTATGTAAATAACTAAAAAAGTAAAAGTACATATGGACGTAGTCCAACTTTTGATCTTATTTAAACGGCATGAAACTTTTTTGTAGAAACTTATATTACAGGTCCCTTATAACACTTAAAAACCAGTTCAAAATTTTTTTAAATATATATATATTTTCAATTTTTCGAGGATCCCTTATAGCACCTATAATACAGGTTTGAACGAAAAAAGTTATATACGGTTGAAATAAGAGCAAAAGGCGTACCAAGCGTATATTTTTACTTTTTTAGTTGTTTACATACAGTAATTAAAAATATTTTTTTACCAAAGGTCCAATTTGGAATCGATTCCATACGCTAACTTCGAAAAACGGAGAAATTACTTTTTAAATTATGACTCATGCCTGGGTTATAATGGAAGTAACGGAACGGAGTGAACTTTCACTTGATTACCTATTGTATTGTAGTTGTTTACATTTAGTAATTAAAAATATTTTTTTACCAAAGGTCCAATTTGGAACTTTGGAAAAATGTATCTTCAATTGTATAAAAAACGTTTAGATAAAAGAGACGGATTACAGAAAAGTGTGCCAGGGATTGACTTCTTTCGTGCAAGCTGAATGCAAAGCACTGTCGTCTAATTGGAGAGTCTTCAAAAGGATTTCCCAGGAAATGTTAAAGCCTTTTTCACATAATGGAATTAACTAAAATATTTAGGTATATCTAAACACTTATTGCACGTCTTCTACTTTCGTATAACGGCAAATTTATAAACAGCGAAAAATGTGATTCTTCGTTGACTGATAAAACCATTCCGCACCAATTTTCAAGACTGCATAAATGGACTTAAAATGGGCGTTTCTCACCCTAATTGTATTATGTTAATGTATGTAAATACTTATATGCTTGAAACTACTAATAATTTTTCAAACGATTCCTAATCTTTGACAATACATGTTTGATTTCATTCACCGGGATCTTGAAGACTGACCAAATCGGCGTGACCAAGTCCATGGTCCTTTTAATATTGTATAAACAGCCGACAACATTAAGGGCACACGCCACAAATGAGGAGAAGCTCGGCCAAACGCTAACATATGTGTAAGCGCCAAAATATTATTATTATTATAATGCCAATTTCAAAAATTCGTAAAAAAGTTAAACTCTTTATTTTTACGTAAAGCAAACAGAAGCTAGAATAAACTAAAAAAAAAAACCAAGAGCTTCCTGGTTCGGTTTATTAAAATTGTTTATATGTTGATGATTTTTACAAGCAAATGACTTTCTGAGAACCAAACTGACGATTTCTCACTTCAATGAACTGGCACACTGGTCATAGGCTATGGAGTAGTGTTGCCGCAGACATATTTTTTTCCTACCAAAATCCACCAAACATTTTTTGGAGTTTTTAAATATTTTTGTTCAACGTCAAGTTTATTGAAAATGTAGCTAACTTAACATTTAGTAAAACTAAGACACAGCTAGTACAATAAAAACAAAGTAACTGCGTATAATAATTAACTTAACTGTAGAGAGTTATGCGACCCAAGAAGGTCTATCACTCCAACCTTAGGCTATTCTAAATTTTACATGGAGAAGAAAATCGATCTCCAAAGTGTATCGGTTTACGATTCATGTTTCGCGAGCAGGTACTTAGAATATACTCTGTGGTTTCCTCCATCAGCCCACAAAACAGTCCGTCTCTACAGAAAGCCCTATTTGATTCAAATGGTACCTTAACTAGCAGTTTGCTGCCAATTAGCCAGTAAGAGTTCAAAGTACAAGGAGTCTTACGAAGTAGGAGTTATGAATCTCTTTGGTTGTGTTATTTTCTTTCCCTTCCACCAGTGGGCAGCAATCTGAGATTCTCTTTAGCTCCTAAGTAGTTCTGCAGTGTATTTTTTAGATGTGGCGCAGAATCGCTCGGGACAATGCAAGCGTATTTCGATTCCAAGCTTTGCGAAAGAGTCAGACCTCTCGCCGGCCTCAAACCCTTCTTGTCCCTGAACCCATTGTGGGCTCCCAGGTGGTTCAAGAGGCTACATGCCTTGATGCAGTTTTAAAAGAGTCTAAGGCCTTCAACACTAGAGTACACGCGCGGCCTACTATAGTAGACCACGGCAACATTTTTATTTATACCTTGACAGTTTTGTATGATAAAGCGGTGCGGTTCCAGGAAAGCCTTCTGCATTAAATTTGTCGACGAGTGAGTACCGCGCTTGACTTCCACGCGTATGCACCTTTTTGTGGATTGGCGCGAAAGTCGCGGGCCTACCATAGTAGTAGTCCGCGCGAGTATTGGTGTACTGAATTTATAATTTGGTTACTTTGCATATGCGGTGCATCAGTGTTCTTAGAAATTGCCGCCGATAGCCACTTAAAATATTTTTCGATTTGATGAATATTGCTGCAATCGAAGCTCTCATAATCAACCAAATGAATGTCAATACTGAAAAAAATTTCACGGATAACTTTTTACAAGAATAGTCCCTCGATTTTTTGAAAACCGCTATGAATCGCTGTACATCCATTGGAACACTTCTCTAACAACTAAAATTTGGAATAAGGAAGCACTTAGTAGCATCTCAAGAAGTACAGCAGGATGTAATACCACATTTTAGTTGGTCCGTTCACCTATTGTACCAGAGCTCTACGTCCATCCACAAAAAGTTGTGCGAGACTTTTAACAATTGGATTTGTCCTGATCACCAGCCTGCAGTGGGCACTCAATGTTACAAAAAAATGATAGTTTTTTGAATGATATTGGTCTAAGAAGAACATTTAAGACATTATCTAAGAAGTAAAATTATTCCTATCTTTTCTGTTACATAAATATGTAAATTATTTATTTTTTCAAATTCCTAGCCGCTATGAAAAAATTTAATTTTATTATCGTAAACGTAATAGATTTAACTACATTTTTTAGCTATAAGCTTCATTTATCTAAGAAAACATTTATTGACATTTGAAAATGGTGCGTGCACTCTAGTGTTAACACTGCCTGACTATCCGACACAATTGGGGTATTCACAACGGTGTCGTAAGTGTCGTATTGTTGTATATCGTAAACTTTAAACGCCTAAAAAATATATTAAGGGAGTTCGCAAAGTACCATCAAAGTTATATTTTGAATTTTTGCAGTGTTAAAAAATAGTCGGTTATCGTTTCAAATTCTCTAAACATTTATTTAAGGTTTTAAAGTTTACGACATACAACAATACGACACTTACGACACCGTTATGAATCCCTCAAATATTTATTCTGGCCCCATTTTTCCTTCTACGAAGACATTCGCGAACACAGACTCCGATTGCAAAGACCTGCCCCTGGAATATGGCTGGGTACGAGCCCATTGCAAAACTTTTCTGGAATCTTGTTCCAAGGACGCTATAATAAGGGTACACATTTTTACTTACGAATCAGGTATATATACATTTTTGCCGTCGCCGTTATTCGAACGCACCGGTAAAATATTCGTGTAAACAAGGTTGCTAAAATGTTCGGAGATACATATTTTCTATTTATCGCAAATAACTATTACTCATTGTCACGAAACCTACCGAAATCCAATCTAACCTACCAAAAAAACCTACCAGTTTTGGTAGGAAAAGCCCATGTGTGGCAACACTGCTATGGAGTGCTTATACATAGATACTGTACGTACGTACATTGTACAATAGATACTGTCGTGAAGCCAACGCGGATGGTATTCAACTGTGATCCTTATTAACCAATTTTGGCAATATGTAGAGATTTCAATGGAAAACGTCATGGCCTTAACAGAATGACGGTGCCGTACTTCGTTTTTCGTGCTTCACAGAGGCCTTGAAAAACAAAGTATTAAAGCTCTTAACTTTAGATACAAAAAAATACCTGCAGAGTTTTTAATTACGTCCTTTACATATAAATTGTTATTATGTAATGATTTCACAAGCCTGAAATCACAGACGTCAGTACTGACCTTGAAAGGATATTTCAATTCTAACAAAAAATAAACACTTTCAAATGAAATACCTAGTATACATATTAGCATATTTTTAGTGAAATTCTGCAAAAATGAATCAAGACAAACACATCTACGAACACATATGTATCTACATACATACATACATATGTATGTATCTAAATAAACTTGTCAAAATACATATCATTCAGTAAAAGTTGTTTGTATATCTACTAATGTACCTAATTATTTCTCAAATATTTTGCACGTAATAAACACAACAAACCTCAAACAAAGAAAAAGTGCATACTTGTGTAGAGTTCGTACATTATTTATTTGTGTACATAGTACCTATTATGAGTACACAAGTGTGATTATATATATATATATGTATATATATAGCCAGTATGTTTGGACATATACGCAGGCACACAAATATCTAAGTACGTATATTAATATTTTTCGATACAATATGTACATATGTACGCATGTACATATGTAGATACATACACCTTCGCAGAAATCATATCTACAGTAACGCACTTCTAAAATAATATAACAAGATTCTACTTCGTTTTTAATTATCATCCCTGGTGAATGTGAAAAAAACGCAAGCGTTATACAAAAACGTCAATTCTCTTACCTTATATGCACGTACGTACGCAATACTTAGATTATGACCTTTACGTTTGTGTATTGCAGAAAAGTATCGCTAGACCTTTACGTTTGTGTACTGCACACAAGTATCGCTAATCTTAATTTGACACAGTGTATAAGATTTGATTTTAGCTTTTTTATCGTATTGGTTTTTTAATTTTATTTGTTTATAAACAACTGATCCAGACACTAAAAGTTGTTACTGCGATATCGACACAACACTGCCAACTGATTTTGACAGTCAGGGAAATCAGCTCGCTGAGTCCCAGTCAGAAGAAATAATAGAATACTTCATTACATATGTAAGAAGGGGTGCCAACTATCTTTAGCTATGAGGTGCCATATTGAGGATAAAAAAGTGCCAAAATGTGCTAAATAGAAAAATAAAAGTGCCATAAAAGGTGCCATCCTTTTTAATCCTTCCCATTTAGCAATAAAATAAGAACCACATTTCTAAAACAAAAGTGCAATGCCAAAATAAGATAAACCAGTTGAATAATCTTTAGAAATTAAAAAATTTTAGTTGAGAAAAAGAAGTAAATACACGTAAAGGATTTTACAAAAATGTATTGAAATATTACTATTTTTGAAAAGTGCCGTTTTGGCACTTTGAAAAATTAAGTGCAATTAGAAGTAAAATATAGCAAAAAA